GGTAACAGGTATGGGGGGGGGGTCTTGCGGGCTCCCAGGCTTCTCAGCTTCTGAACCTCCTCCACAGCTCCCAGGGGAAGCAGCTGAGGTCTAGGAGGAACAAAGAGGAGGGTCGCTTTTTAAGATGGAAAGACGTGCACTGTTAATTTCTATTGCTATTTTAAAATTCAGGGCAATATGGGAAACCAAGGCTCTCTGGCTGGAGGGCAGAGTAAAGAGAAGCCAGTTCCAGTGCGGAGGAAGTTGGGGTGAATGTGGCCAATAATCAGGAAGGAGGAAGCCAAAGCCGCTTCCAGAACCCTGGCTTCTGGGCTTGGGCTCCCAGGCACCAAATGTCCCCAGAAATCCCAGACCCCAGGGCCCAGCAGCCCGAAGGACCAGGGCGGGGCTCAGGGTGGGCCCCATGATCTCATCTCTCCGTTCTTCCTCTCCACTGTTAGTGCTCACATAGGCAGAAAGAGGCAGCCCACGTGCAAACCATGTCCGCTCAGCTGTCCCTCTGCCTCTCTTTCCGGCTGGCCCTTGGCCTTCGTGTAGCATGAGGAGCCTCTCATCTCCCAACAAAATCCCCCACTTTACATTGCTCATCTCATTTCACAACTCTATGCCCATGGCTTTTTAAATTTCTGGATCAACTTCTTTGGGGAAGAGGGAAGAAGGGAATTCAGAGAGAGAGAGAGAGAGAGAGAGAGAGAGAGAGAGAGAGAGAGAAGTGGGGGACTTGGCGAGATTAAGAGTTGCAAACACTTAAAAAATTCTCCCCCTTCTCCCTCTTTTCCTCCTCTCCACCCCCCACTCTGGCTAAGTGGTAAAACCGTCCTTACGTTCTGGGTATTGATTGGCAGGGCTGACAGTGATTGGCAGTGGTTGCCATGGCAACCCCACAACGACATGCCGTAGACCAATAGAAAAGCGAAACAAAATGTTTCAATGCTGCACTCACTGTGGATTTAGGGGAGATATTATGAGGCTGTTGTCATTAGGGCGATTGCTGTGGAATCGCTGAATCTTGACTCGGCGGTGGTTGGCTCTCGCTCTCGCTCTCCCTCTCCCTCTCTCTGGCTCGGGTTCGCTCTCTGCGCGCGCGCACCGGGTCGCTCTCCTTCCTCCCTCTCTATGTGGCTGCGCGGGTGTGTGTGTGTGTGGATGTGTGTGGGGTGTGGGTGTCCCTTACGCCCTTCCTCTTCCCCCTCCTCCTCCTGCTCCCCCCTCCTTTCCTTCCCCTCCTCCCCCCTCTCCTCTCCCTCCGCCTGGTCCTCAGCGCCCCTCTCCTCCTCTTCCTCCCCTCTCTCTTCCTTTCCCTGAATTTTCTCCTCTCCTCCCAGGTCAGTCCATGGTATTCCGCTCCCCCCTAGACCTCTATTCCTCCCACTTCTTGTTGCCAAACTT